TATATTGATATTGATAAGAAATTATCATTTGTTAATATTAATAATACAAATACATAAAGATAAAACATTTCGAAAATATTTATAAATATTAATATCTTATAGGAATAATATACACTACAAAAATTATTATCATTAATTTTCTCTACAATATACTTTCAAAACCCTTTGAAAATCCACCATTGGATTGGTACAACCCTAGTCTTCGTAGCAACTGTGATATTTACATAAATAGTATCACATACGTAGAAAGTTTACATCCTCAAGAAAAAACAAAAAAGGCCCAATAATAAATGACAATATCAATAAAACAAGCCTAATATTTTTAAAACTCTTAAACTATATTTTATTCACAATTGTATGTTATACAGAATTATTGTCGTACACTAATACTATTTTTAAATGAATTTAATGAAAACTGCCTCCTGAATAAGAGAAAATCAATACCGCTGATTCATTGATCCACATAAACGGTGTTCATTAATTCGGAAACTTGTCAACGTTGTTTCCACGAAACTGCACCCTTTCGCTCTGAAATTCGATCCGTAAGATCAAGGCGACGTTGACGCGCCGTTTGAAATTCGAATGATCAAAAGACCGAGGGTGTGGGCGACGTGGATAGAATTCTCCTCGCGGAACGGCGATCGCACGTAAGTAAACGAAGGATTTAGAATGACGCGGCGACGATTTGCTGCAAATAAACGCGCGGGCACAAAAAGGGATGTGATGTCACCATCGAAGTAGTACCAATGTCGTTTGCGCGTAATAAAATTTCGCGTCTAGTCACGGCTCGTCTACATACTCGCGCCGGTTGAACACCTTTTTTTTCCATGAATGATTTCCCTTGTTGAACTGTTCGTTTTCTCAGTGAACGATCAAATTTTATTATTTGCCTTTGAACTTTTCATTTGCGTCTTTCCTATAAATGGCCATATGTTTTTCTGATTGATTGACTGAATCATGGATGTTAGATTATAATTATATTGTTATGCAAGTGAAAGAATGTTGAGAAATATAAATATCACACTAGAACTATGGCAAAATAGTTTTATAAGGCCTACATATTAATCGTATTAAACGCTTGGTAGTTATAGTGTTAATTACTGCATTGTGAATCTGACGGGTTTATAGTTATTATATGTAATACATTTATGTAGAAACTTTCTATTGATTTGTAATATATGTATTGACTTCCTCAGACCCAATCTATCTAAAAATTTGATCAATTTTCATTAATTATTTGTTTTACTTGACGACTGATAAAATTCTTAATAGAATGAACGATCTTCTCTTTAATCATAGCTTCTCTAAATCACTATACGAAAATTTATATTTGCATATAAATCTGCATTAATTACAATACTATTCACTTAAAATGTAAGGTGCAAACGTGCATTGTATACTTCGAGTCAACTTAATATTTTAAGAAATCTGTTTAAATAATTAAAATCTTTTTGATCTGACTTCAAGTATTTATAGTCTAATTGACGATTTAAAGTTAACTAAACGTTTACTTTGAATTTTCAATGCACGATTCGATCGAAGGCAATTTATTCCAGGTATTCTTGTTAATTTATGAAATGTATGTTACGGTGAACAGCATACCAGAAATAATAAAAGTGAATCACTCCAACGACCTCGTATAGGATCTTAGTTTTTCCGTGTTTTAAGTAGATGTGGTCCGCAATGGTTGGACAAGTTTTTGCGACAAAGAAATCAGTCTACTGATTAAGAGATCGTATAACGTTGACAGGTATATACAAGACAGGCCATCTAATATCATTACTTTATAGAAACCCCTAAATATTGAAGCTCATTATTAATGTCAAGGTTGTAGTCACAAGAAAAATAGAAAGGTTTTAATAATCAGGGACTATCTACGGTGAAAATGATTTTTTTTTT